CTACTTCGCGGAATTTCATTTATCGTGGTAGGGTCTAGAACCGATTAACCGCGATAAATGAGGGTTCACTGCCGTCTCCCAACACTCTTTCACAGAACAGGTACCTCTTCCTTGCTTCCAGATGATAGTTCCTCACCTTGACTTCCTCTGCAATAAAGATTTCTTCTTTCCTCTACCTGGGTCCTTCTATTTATGACCCCTTTCCTCTGCACAGGCTCACGAGATGTGCACACTCTGCACCTACTATCCATCTTTACCTATAACGTTATTCCTCAGATAGAGGTGTGGGAGCCCAAAGCCAGAACTGGTGCATGGCTGTATATGTGGATACAGCAAATCTCCGAGGGGGGTTTCTGAAAGCTCCACTGCCTTGCTCACTTACTACGAACCAGAGGGGAAGTTAGGAGCCATGGGTCTGGAGACTAGTGAGTTGAACATAAAACTTTGACTAAAAGTTTCCTTATTTTCTTCTTCATCCTTACTTCCTAGTAAGAAATGAGCGTCACAATCCACAAAGATGTAAGGATGCATAAGCTCTCTCCATTCTGCAGGCCTCCTTCCTCTGCTAGGAGCTCCCAGGCTAATAGATCACCTTGCAAAAGGAAATCATCATTGGCTCTTGAGCGAATTCTATGTCAAAACAACTGTAAGATAATAGAACTTCCGCCAAAGGTTTCCAAGGCTGTACTGTTCTATGGAAAGTGCTCTTGGCTGTTAACCAGCTGCTCCACGAAGCAGCAGTCTGATCCTGTAAAGACTGACAGCCTTGGAAGCTGCCCGCGGTGCAGTTCCCCTTGGTCCGATCACGGAACTGGGGATTGTAGTCAAACTGATGGCAATAGGCTTGTCTTGTCTTTGTTTAACTCTTTGTGGAAACAGATGGTCACATCTCCTCTCCTCCCAGTGGCGGGTGGGCTGGAACAGCAGAGTCCTACCAGTGCTCCCAGTGCAGAACAGGTCAGATGGGTTGTAAGTAGGGCCTTTCTCCAATTCTATGACCTTGTCTAGAGCCAGATGTAACTGTTAACGGGGGTCAAATGAAATCATGAAGTGGTGACTGAAGTCTAGTTCTCTATGAAGGAGAGCCAAGAACTGAGCTCAGACCAAATGTCCTGGGAGCCTCAGAGGATGTTTGCCAAGGAGTTCGGTGACTGAGCCATGGGTCCACAGCACTTGGAAGGCACTCGGGCATTTTCTTCTCAGAGTTAGTAGACCCTAGTAGCAAGAAAAACCAAACTCCTCTCCATAGGGTTTCTGAAGCTTTAAATCTTCACAGGAGCAGATAGCCTCAATTTCCCCCCCTGACACAGTTGGTGGGTTTGAACCCCCCCCCCCTCCCCCAATCTGCAGTTAGCAGTTACCTGACAGTGTCACCAGGGCAGAAAGAAGAACAAAATGCGCTGCCACACTGTCAGTGTGGACTCATAGCAACCCTATAGGACAGGGCAGAACTGCCCTGTGGGTTTCTGAGACTGTAACTGATCACTGGAGTAGAAAGCCCTGTCTTTCTCCCACAGAGCTGAAGGGGGGTTTGTGGCTAGAAGCCCAACACATAAGCACTACCCACTATCAGTGGCCATAAGCGAGTCCCTCAACCTTTCTTTCTAAGGCAGAGGTTCAGGAAAAGCAAACACGTGGCGCACACACACTCTTTCTCCTCCCGTGGCTTCATCAAGGCTACTGTTCAATCACATCCCTCCATAGAGCTCATTTTTATATGTTTCTTTTGCTTTTACAAGATGCAAGGCAGCACTGCACATTAATCAGAGTCCACACGTAAGCTGACATCTACCTGCTAATTCTGCCAGGTCTCTTCTTGCTCCAACATACATGGTCTCCACTTTCCAAGTGATAGAGTCAATCTGCCTGTTTTTCTGATTCAGTACTTAGTCAGCAACAGAAAAACGGAAACTCGGGGTCCTAATTTTAGAGTCGACCTCCTCACCCTGAGGCCGAGCAGGGTCTTCTCGAAGTCGAGCTGTCTTTCCTTCTGGGCTAGTCTTGCACATGGTGTTCTTTCATTGAGAACACCTGCAGCGAACTGTTTTGCTTGGAACCAAGGATGCAAAGAAGAAGGAATGATTTCAGGTCCTTGAGAACAGAGACTCAGAGATGTAGGCATGAAGTGATTTCCATCACTGCTGCCTCAAGCAAGGTGCATGGTGGGCAAACCTGAATATTATGGCTGAGTGGTAAAGATTTACATGAATCCAGTCCCACAATGTGGACATGGATTCACTCTTCTCCCCCCACGTCTTCATCCTGGTCACCAGCCGCTCACATTGGTGTTGGGTGGCTATGCACAGTTGGGGTCCTTGGGACCTCTGCTCAGTTGGCATTTGGGGATTTGTGGAGCTGATTCTGTCTATTGCCACCCAGAGCTCAGATGTTAAAAGGACATCTTTCAGGGCAGCCGTTCATGCAGTATTTCTTACATCCTGGCCACTCCGAGATAGATCAGAGCTTACAGGATACTTTCTTTCAGACTGCCAAGTAGACACCAGTATCTCCTGACTCTCACTGTTCAGTGCGTTCCTCAGTGCACTATATGGACTCTTAGAATCTCAGGGAGAGTCTACCATACATGGAGGAGCCCTGGTGGTGTAGTGGTTATATGTTGGACTGCAATCTCCAAGGTCAGCAGTTCAAAACTAACTACTGCTCCTCAGTAGCAAGATGAGGCATTCTACTCCAGTTAAGAATTACAGTCTCAGAAACTCTCAGGGGCAATTCTACCCAGTCCTTTAAGATTGCTATGAGGCAGCATCTACAGGGTGGCAGGAGTATTATACTATACTTATGATCACAACTTTATTTATTTATTTAAGATCATTTTATTGGGGGCTCTTACAGCTTTTTTAACAGTCCATACATCAATTGTATCAAGCACATTTGTTGCCATCATCATTTTCTAAACATTTACTGTATTCTTGAGTCCTTGGTATCAGCTCCTCCTTTCCCCCTCCTCCCCCCACCCTTCTACCCTTGTGATTCCTTGATAAATTATAAATTATTGTTATTTTCATATCTTACACCAACTGCTATCTCCCTTCACCCTTGCTTCTGTTGTTTGTTCCCCTTGGAGACGGGGGTTATGTGTTGATCATTGCGATCGATTCCCCCTTCCTCCCCTCACCTCCCACATTTCCTCTACCATCCTGGTATCCCTACTTCTATATCTGTTCCTGAGGGGTTTATCTGACCTGGATTTCTTGTGTCACGAGCTCTTATCTGTTCCAGTGTACATGCTCCGGTCTAGCCAGAACTGAAAGGCAGGACTGGGGTCGTGATAGTGGGGGTGGGTGGGTAAGGAAGCCTCAAAGAACCAGAGGAATATTGTGTGTTTCATCGGTGCTGTACTGCACCCTGGTTGACTCATCTCTTCCTTGTGACCCTTCGGTGAGGGGATGTCCTATTGTCTACAGATGGGTTTGGGCGTCTCTGCTACAACCCCCCTAGTTCACAACAATATGCTTTTGTTTGTTTGTTTGAGGTATTCTGATGCCTGTGACAACTTTATTGATACCAAACAGGATACAAAGAGACATAGAGGAGGAGATCTGGGAGAGGCCACAGCGTGAAGCCTCCATGTCCCAACGGGGGACCCCCTACCCTCTCCAATCCAGGATCCCAAACGTGGAGCTCCATCTGAGCCTTACTGTTGAGGCCTTGGCCTTACCACAGGGCCAGGACAGGTTACCTATAGAGTCTCTCTTACTCTCGTTAGCATCAGGCCCCCAACCCATCCTTCTGGGTCTGACCAGCCCCACTCATTAGCCTCAAGGGTTAGCGTGGCACCAAAGAGCAGAAAGCAAAGGCTGGCGTTGCTTAATTCAGTGACTCCATACCTCGTGACTGTGGACCAGACTTGATGAATTTTACAAGAAAACTTCAGGAAAGCAATCACAGAAGCCATGCCCGGATGGGAATCGTTTCAGGAATCAAAGTGGTTGCAACTACGTTTATTCAGACAAACAGTGATGGGGTTAACATATGGGAAATCCACCTCACCCCCCACACCTAAGCCCAAAAAGCCCCGAGGGAAGACGAATGCACTGGGACCCAGGTGTCATAATCATGATGCGATGGGGACACCTGTGCTCCGGCCTCAGGAAGAGACCTCCACAGAAGCATCAAAATGGACGGGCACATACGGTCTCCCCTCACAGGCCACGATGATGTAGCTCATCTTTGTGGTCGTCCGGTATTCACATTTGGGGTACTTGGCACCGCCCTTCAGGCGACAGTCTGTGATGTGCACACGTGAGCCGCTCCGGTGGCAGTTGGACTGGCCATTCTTACAGGTGATGCTCCCCTGGAGGCAGACCGCCTGGACATCTTCCAGGGACTCATGCACAAAGGTGTTCACTGGCTTGCACCTGCCCCGCGTCATATTCCGGTACACCATCATCTGGTTGCAGTAGTTGAGGTTGCTGCTGGGGGAGCTGCCAGGATCCATGTGTTGCCTCTGGAACTTCATGGCTGGGGTCTCCTTGGCCAGGGAAGGTTGGGCCCAGCCCACGACCAGAAGCATCAGGGCGAGCAGTGGGAACAGCACAAAGGACTTCTCCAGAGCCATGGTGCCCTCTCTCACCCGGAGGAACCTGCCCACGAAAGGGAGAGAGATGGACCAGCATCTCCTAAGAAAGAATCTCAGCTCCCATCTGAGGCTTCCCAGCCTTACAGCTTGCCATTTCAGCCAACCAGATAAAAGTCCCTCTTTCTGAGGGGCTTTCCAAGTAGACACTCGCATATACCCCTTTCCAGGAGCCTCTGAACGGCAAAAGAAGAGCCCCAGGTGGTACAAATTAAGTGCCTGACTACCAGTAGAAAAGTTCAAATCCACCAAGAAGCACCTTTGGAAGCTAAATCTGGCAATCCGCTTTCAAAAAGCCACATCACATCTTCGAATGCCTGGTGGGACAGTCCTGCCCCACACCCCCACACCATGGGTTGTATGTAACCAGCCTGGTGGGACAGTCCTGCCCCACACCCCCACACCATGGGTCGTACATAACCAGCCTGGTAGGATAGTCCTGCCCCACACCCCCACACCATGGGTCGTACGTAACCAGCCTGGTAGGATAGTCCTGCCTCACACCCTGGGGGTTGCCATGGGTCATAACCAGCTCTACAACAACTGGCTTAACAACAAGCAAGAGACAAGCCTCCTTCCGGTCTCACCTGAGCAAAACCTAACACCGCCCTTCCCAGGACTAGCAAAAATTCAGGGGGTGACATAAAATTCTGGCAGTCTTATCTAGACCCTTGAATTCTTTGAGCTAAAATACATTTGAAAAATAAATCATTATTCCCAGTGCTCAAACGACACCTTAGAAAATCCTTTTGCATAAACTGTGAGCCATATTGTATCCCTGAGTTACCAACCTCACGCTCAGGATGATGGACAACAGTCTTAACAATACGAGGAAACCTCGGCCCAGGGCACAGCACTGGCTCTCACAAAGGAGTTCCACTGTTGCCCCCAAAATTATGCTCTCCTCCCCGAACTTAGAGGCTCCTCCTGCTCCAGCCTCTGGGTTCCCTGCAGACCGGTGCTCTCAGCTTTTCCCCTGCCCTCCCCAGCTGTTCACCTGGCTGATAGGCACCGGGCCCACACCTCCCCTCTGCTAGCTTTGCTTGCCTCTCTGTTCTCTGACCCTGAAGCAGAAGCAGGCTCTGAGAATACTTTGGGGGTGACTTACCTTGGTCTTCAGGAGAAATCAAATGGCCAGTTTCTATTGCCACTTGTCCTGGATGGTGGACCTAATATAGATCCCAAATGGGGCTTGGCTTTCAAGACGTGACAGGTGGGAGGAGCATCTTTGGCTCAGTCTGGGCAGAAGCAAGGAATGACGGAGAAAGGGGAGAAGAATCAGTCTGGCTACCCCAGTCTCGGGGCTGTTGCATAAAGAGTGTCTTCACTTAAAGCCTTTCTTACCAGGCACCTCGTCTATCTACTCGCTGGAGCACAGGAGCGGCAGAGGAAGCCCCTAGGACTGCTGGCAGCAGGACCTTAGGAACCACCGGGAAGCCTCGGTTACCACTTCTGGACTATTTTTTTTTTTTTAACCAAGGAGGTTAACTAAGGGCACGAAAAGTGATATAGGTGATGGTGCCCCTTTCTCTCCCCTGTGGTTCTGGCACACCCTGGCTAGAATGCCACACCTCCCAATAGAACATCTCTTAGGTATGTGGCTGGGTCGAGGTGCAAGCTGGGGGCTCCAATGCCCCCAAGAACAGGCTTCTTGCATCTGACTGAGGACAAGCAGGCCTGAAATGACAAAAGAAGCCTCGCCCAAATTCGGCGACTGCCTGCCCACCGTCCATCTGGGGAGTTGTGGCTGTGTCTCCTTATCTGTAGTGACCGCATATCCGGTAGGCAAACTTGAGTAGTTGAACCAAAGATAAAGACTCAGAGAGATTTTTCTGGGGAGGGAAAAAAACACACAGAGAAAGTTATTATTATTTTGCTTTTGAATCTGAATAAGGTGAAGATTAATCTGTTTTACATCCAGCAATTCCAACACATCTTGTTTCAACTCGTGCATTGTTCTCCCGCCCTCAATGCATCTCCTGTTTCCACTCCTCCTCCTTTACAAACGCTACCAACTTCGTCCTCGTGTGAATGCTGCTCTTTTGATCGTAAATGGATGATTATTCTATAAGGATGAATTCAGCTCCACACCTAAGGGTCCTACTTTTGGGGTCACCAGTCTCTGAAAATTATATTTCTTAACAGCAGAATGTGCTCCTAAAAAGAGACCTTTTTTTGCTGGGAGATCATTTTGATGCCTCTGGATTGAGAAATATCAAAATATCCATCTATGTTCTGATGCAGACTACTTCCCACAAACATCTGACTTAGCACCTGATGAGCCGGGCACGTGATGGAGAAAAGCTAGAGAAACCACAAATCGATGGCCACCTCTCCACGAAAATAGAAGAGAAACGATAAAACTTTATTAATGAATGAACACGAAGCTAGAATGTGATGTTTCATAGGCAAATCAGCTGAAGAGATCCAAACACAGAAAGGAAGCCAACCCTTTAAACAGCTAAGTGGCTTCAGCCCATTACAATCTGGGTTTCAAGATACAATTGCTAGCTTTCTTGCTTCTTTATGCCAAGATACCTCAAGTGGTGCTAACCTTCCTCCAGGATGCCAGGAGGGAGGGAGGGAGGGAGGATTGTGATGTTTTGTGATTACATTTCATTCAGAGTGCTCCAGAACACATCGGTGACTAACATAGTGTTCACAGAAAAGCTTAGATAGCCTTACAAGTGGTCGGGGTGGGGGTTGGGGGGAAGAGCCCAACTTCAACTATATTTTACAAGACAAAGTTAACTCATCCCAATGAGGGAGACCATCAGGATGATGTCATAATTGTGACCAAAGGATTCCTGGCCATGCTGCTAATAACCCAACCCTACCAAACTCACTGCCATTGAGTCAGTGAGGACCCACAGGGACCCTATACAACACGGTAGACCTGCCCATGAGTTTCTGAGACTTGTAACTCTTTAGGGGATGATGAAAAATGACAGAAATGCAGCCTAACATCATGATTGACTGGCAGCAGATCAATTTATCAGAGTTGCCGGCAGGACTACAGAAATGGGAAAGGTACCATGATTGGGATATGTACAGATGAGAAAAGTTTACAGGATTGATTTAGGCCGTTCCCACTAAAACCCTAATACTAATATCCCTTTTTCTAGAACCTGTCCCCCAGCCCCTTACTCTGGCTATTCTATGACTCACTCTTCTCCGACCTAAGTCTTGCAACTTGCTCAATGTTTCGTTCCTGTTGGAGATAGTCTACAATATCCAAAGGAAATAATGGCTGTAGAAATGCAATAACCCAGACAACAGGCTCTATACGGAGCAGCAGTGTGTCGCAGACACCGTGCCTTCAGGGGAGCATATTAGACACAAAAAGGAGCACAGAGGAAATGTGACCTGGTAAACTAACTTGTGAACTTGATAGTCTAGACCTCAGATGTCTTTCAGCTCACAAACGCTCCTCCTTGTAACGGGCAGATTCAACGTGTTTAAGAGGCACGCATGAGAAGGACACTGGTGACTACCTAAAACGGTGATTCCAATACTAACCCAGGACTGGAGCTAAGAATAAAGGAGTTGAGCCCATGCCCAATTAGTTATGCTACCCATCCCAGACCCCCTTGCTACAGGTTCCATTTTTTTAAATGTTAGGACTTCAATTTGCACCCACACTGCACATGCAACCAATGAAAGAAAAAAGAGCCAGGAATGAGACTGTAAAAACTGTATGATTGTACACACTGCCCAAACCAGAACCATGGCCCCCAGACACCTGCTGATTCTTGACTAAGAAGAAATAGGCTGTCTGCTTCTGAAGAATGAGGACCAGAACACCTTGGAGATAGCAGCAGAACATGTCAGACACTGAAAACCTCGTGAAGGCACCAGATCATTCTCAGCGACAGCCCGAGAAGGTGAGGCTGTCAGGTCAGAAGTGACTCATAATATGACTGAGGAAGAGCTGCCGTCTCAAAATAGAGTTGAGCGTAAATATGTGGATGGAGTTAAGCCTTTGGGAACCTTCATTTGCTAACGAGCCATGACTCAAAATGAGGAGAGACAGCTGCAAACAACGATTAGTAATTAGAACTTGGAATGTTTGAAGCATGAATCTAGGAAAATTAGAAGTCACCAAAAATGAATGGAAGGCATAAAGATGATATCCTGCAGGTTAGTGAGCTGAAATGGACTGGTATCAGCCATTTTTAATCAGAAAATCCTCTGGTTTACTGTGCCAGGTGTGTTAGTCTGGGTACTTTAGAGAAACAAATCCACAGAAACTCATGTATAAGCAAGAGTTTTATATAAAGGTTAAGTGCACATCAAGAAAACATCCCAACCCAGTGCTGCCCAAGCTCACAAGTCCAACATTAGCCCATTAACCCATATGTCCAACACCAATCCACAAAGTCCTCCTCTATCTCACAAAACACACACTGTGACCCCAACTGCAGGAGGAAAGCCGAGTCAGTGAACATGTAAGCATCTTGGCGCTGGCAGGGGTCTCCACACAGCTGCTCCAGCACCCAAGGCTGCATCTGGGTAGGTCCATGGCTTCTCCTTGGGGATGTTTTACAGGAAGTGAGCCTTGCAAGCTGACGCAGGGAACTGGCTAAGGCAGCTGCACCCTGGTCCGACCATCACAGAGCAAGAGACCCAAGAACTACTAAGGCGAGGCTCACTGAGCCATTTATCCCTTTGCCCTTCAATTAACCCCATGTGTGTTTATCAGCCAGGTTGTCACAATAAACTACCTCACCAAGAATGACAGATTCAAGAGAAATGGCATCACATTCATGGCCAAAAAGGATGTTTCAAGATATATCTTGAATGGCAATGCTTTCTGTGATCAACTAATATCTATTTGAGCATAAGGAAATCCAGTCAATATAACTATTATTCAAATTTATGCACCAACCCATTAAAGCTAGTGATGAGAAAATTAAAGAAACTTACCAACGTCTTAAGTCCAAAATTGATCAAACATGCATTCAAGATGTATTGGCAATTGTAATCACTGGCGATTGTAATGCAAAACTTGGAAACAAAGAGGAAGGAACCATACTTAGAAAATATGGTCTTGGTAATCATATCGATGGGGATGAAGGGGAGGGAGTCCCAAAGCCCATCTGTAGACAATTGGACACACTTTCAGAAGGGTCACAAGGAAGAAATGAGCCAGTCAGGGTGCAGTATAGCACCGACAAAACATACAACTTTCCTCTAGTTCAGCGGTTCTCAACCTATGGGTCACAACCCCTTTGGGGGGTCAAACGACCCTTTCACAAGGATCACCTGATTCATAACAGTAGCAAAATTACAGTTATGACATAGCAACGAAAATAATTTTATGGTTGGGGGGTCACTACAACATGAGGAACTGTATTAAAGGGCCATGACATTAGGAAGGTTGAGAACCATTGCTCTAATTCTTTAATGCTTCCCCCCACCTACTCACCCACCCACCCACTCTCATGACCCCAATTCTACCTTACAAATCTGGGTAGATCAGAGCATGTACACTGCTACAGAGGGGAGCTCGAAACACAGGGAATCCAGGACAGATAAAGCCCTCCATGCCAACAGTGGGAATGTTGGCATAAGGTGGGGAGAGGAAGGATAAGGTGGGGGGAGGAAGAGGGAACCGATTACAATAATCTACATATAACCCCATCCCAGGAGTACGAACAACAGAAAAGTGGGTGAAAGGAGACAGTAGTCGCTCTAAGACATGGAAAAAATTATAAATTTTCAAGGGATGTTGGGGGAGTGGGGGAAGTGAGCTGATACTAAGGGCTCAAGTAGAAAGAAACTGTTTTGAAAATTATGATGGCAACATATGTACAGATGTGCTTGACACAATGAATGGCTATATGGATTGTGATAAGAGCTGTAAGAGACCCCAATAAAAATGATTTAAGGAGACATATATGTATATAGAGATAGATAGATAGATAGATAGATAGATAGATAGATAGATAGATAGATAGATAGATAGAGATATGGTCTTGGTAAATAAAAAACGAGGCTGTAGATTATGTGATAAAATTTTGCAAGACCAACAACTTCTCCACAGCAAATACCTTTTCCAGCAACACAAATGACCACTGTACGTGTGTGGACTTCTCCAAAAAGCATACACAGACATCAAATTGACCCCAT